TATTTCTTCAAAAACTGAAGATTGCTTGTGGTCTGTTACATAAGAACCAGCTCTTAAGTACAAAGCTCCCTATGGTGCAAGACTGTTTCTTAGTGCCATAAGCAACAGGTTACAAGGTTAGGAAAAGCTACTTTTAAGTCTAGTGCTGCTGGAGTTGCCTGGATTCACTCTCTAAAAATAAAAATGTATTTTAATTTAAAAAACAAGGAAATACAAAGAATAGCATGTAACAATTTACTTGTTGCAATTATATAGAGGTGATGCTTCAAGAGAAAATTCAAGAGAAATGAAGTGATCAAAATAATAGAAAAATTCCTTGCTCTTCAGACACTCATAAATAATAGATCCAACCACTTTTCACAGTCCAGGCTGATGAACAAAGTCTGTGCATAATACCAACAAAAAACTGATTTAGAATGGAAGTGCTCCATTCAAGTATTACAGAAGTACAACAGTAAAACAGGCATCAAACAGTAAAACCGGCATCAGAAACAACTGCAGCTATTCTTTGTCATCAGCTTCTAACTGTCCCTTCTTATCTACCAGCCTGCCTAAAGGGAATTTAAATATTTAAGCTTAACCTCTGTATCTCAAGACAGCCCTGAGCAACATCTGCTACTAACTGCCTGGTCACGATAAGTGAGTTATCCCTTGAGTGCAAAGATGTCCTTTCAGCTGGAGCTGGGACACAGAATCAAGACAGTCTTGTGGTGATCCCACATGTGCACTACTTATTCTCAGAACAGATGTCATCATTCCCTAAAAATTCCAACTAGCTCACAAAGTAATATTAACTCAACAATTAAAATCAACTCTTCAAAACCTACTTGAGTAAGAAAAATCATGGAGCTTCTGTGGATATAAAAGCATGTCTGGTCTGAACAAAGCAGAGGCTGTATTTTAAAAGACTGTATCATTAATCTGTCTATATTTAGTATTTCAACCTTTTTCTTTAAAAAAGTAATTAACCACTCATCTACATATGCAATAATTCCCTCTTCATATCAATATTATAAAATCATATTATGGTTTGGGTTGGAAGAGACCTTAAAGATCATCTTATTCCAGGCCCCCTGCCATGGGTAGGGATACCTTCCTCTAGACCAGGTTGTTCAAGGCCCCATCCAACTTGGCCTTGAACACTTCCAAGGATGGGGCATCCACAACCTCTCTGGGCAACCTTTTCCATTGTATCATCCCTCTCAGAGTAAAGAATTTCTTCCCTGTATCTAATTCAGTTTAAAGTCAATCCCCCTTGTCCTATCACTCCATGCCCTTGTAAAACGTCCCTCTCCAGCTCTCTTGTAACCCCCTTAAGGCACTGGGAGGTTGCTCTAAGGTTTCCCTGGAGCCTTCTCTTCTCCAGCCTGAACAACTCCAACTCTCTCAGCCTCTCTAAAGAGAAAAGGTATTCCATCATATAAAACTATTCCCAATTGCATGCAGAAATATATTAAAAATGTCTTTTTTTTTTTTTGAAGAACTTAACATTATAAGGAAGGAATCAACAGAAAGGAGTAGAGATTGCAATTCTCTCAAATTAGACTTTGATTACATTGTAATGGTTTGTTTCTCCCTCTACGACTTTGAAAAACAGTCCCATTATTTTAGCAACAGAATGAACCTTAAAATTTGTGTTTACTTGAGGCAATCACATAACACTCCTGCTTTAAAAATAAAAATATCATAAGGAAAAAAAATCTTGCAGTTTTAGGTAACTACTCTATAAGATGCCTAAGCCTGGCTACAAAGATGGCAGGGTCTTTTTTTTTTTCTTGATCTGCTGTGACTGGATCACAAAAACTTTAGTTTTGTCTCTTAAAAGGAAAAAAACTTGCAAATTATTGGAAGTTTCAGTATTTTAAACAATGTAGCATGAAACCTTCCTATTCAATAAACTGCTACATAGTAGCATGTTCGTACTACCTTCTTTGATATTATTACAATAGATTTAAATAAAGTTAGCCTTTTTATTTTGTTGTGCTTTCCACTGAAAACTGATCAAATGCAAAGTCATCAGAATCAGTAAACATGTCTGCTGAAAACATGTAAGCCTGTCAGCTGAAACTTGTCCCAGAATTGCATCTAACGGGATCCAAAATCTCCTCTGAAAAGAATTTTAATTATAACAGGAAAAAAAAATCCTAACTAGGAGATAATATATAGCAATTCAGGCAGCTGAACACACTGCCCTTCTACTGATGGGCAAGCGAAAACTATCAGCGAATGAGTCCATCACCTATTTTATTATTTCAGAAAACTTGTTAATTGTGATTAAGGAAAAGTAAGTCCACGATTTTGTAATAACTTCGGGGAACTAGATAGAGGCACCTACATACACAAAACCATCTATTTCTTTTATGTCAAAGTAGTTTATGAAAAGGTGTTTCTGATCTAACCACTGATCTGAGCTATGGTGGGAATCACACCAAACTGAGAGGCTGGAAAACATATCTAACTTCTGTTAAATCTGTTTCATTCCCCTGCCATTTCTGTTCAGAAACTAGTTCCCATTTGCAATCTTGTTTAGAATAAAGAAACTAATTAGTTTATCCACAAACTAGCTCTAGTCACTGATGTAGGTGCAGGTTGTGTTGAATTAAATTAGCTGTAAAATAATGACCTAAGATACTTCAGGCAGCAGCGCCACAACAGCACAGAGCCTGACACTGCCTGCAAAAGCCCAGTGAGAGCTCCAACCCAGATGCAACACTCAGTTAAAAATCAAACAGCTTCAAGGGTGGAATCATCCCCTTTGCCTTAACACAGAACGCTCAGAATTGAAGTTCAGGAGCTGGTTGAAGAGCTCGTCAGTCATCCATGATGCATGGACAAGAGCAGCAGCAGCAGGAGCTACAGAACACCCACTTCAACCACTCGTTTTCCAGCCCCTGTTTCACAGGATGCACTACCTTAGGTAAGCAGGTGTATAGAAACCAGCCCAGCCTGAAAGCAGCAGCAGTAAAACTGTGTCTTCATTGTAATTGTAGCTTGCTTACACAAAAGCTCCAAAGGAGCACTTCGCCTGCCACATCCTGACCATCTGTATTTCTCCATGCAAATTAATAAGCACAAATTTGAGAGAGTTGCAGATTTTTTGCACATATAACAGTAGAGCTTATTTTTATCTTGTTTTCCATCAAATAAAGCTTTTTTATATTTACAGATAATAAAAAAATTACAGAAGACAAGCCCAGAATTAGTCTAAACTGCAAACAATTTAAATGGAGCACATAAAACAGTTATACAAACAAAAGAAATTAAAGAAATAGCAATGCAAGCACCAGAAGCGCCCGCTATTCTTTATTCTTCTGATTTATTGCTGTCAAATCAGACATAAAAACTTTGAAAATACGCACAATCCACACAAGTAGTGCAGAACATTGTGTATTTATCTTCCGTATTTTGGTTTTCTTTGGACAGGTATTACCACATTCAGCCTGTTCCGAAGTATCTCCCAAATCATGAAAGCATTACGCTGTATTCTTACCCTGGGAGTCACCAGTAATGACAAAATATATATTTTTACTTAACTGTGCACATGCTGTCAACTGTACTAATAAGCGTATCAATGGCTATACCTATTCCACACAGTTAAGACCAGGGGGCAGCAATACTGTCAAACACAAACCTAACAGGTTGATTTCTGACAAATCTATAAGCAACCATGACTTAGTTACAAGAGGAAAAGAAGAACGAAACAGCTACAGTTATGGAAAAGCTGCAGAAGTTAATCTAGGTTACATAATAAAAATAAAAGATATCATTTTAAATGTGAATTTACAATCACTCTAGTCAGTTGATGTAAACAATAGCACTGTTGCAATTTTGAACATAGACATTTTTTCTACTAAGGCAACTTTAACTGATCTTAATCCTATGGAATTATATTTTCTATACCCAAGATTATCAGGGGAACACCATAATTAAATAACTAATACTCTTTCCTTGCATACCAAATGTTTTGCTCATGCCAGCACATTCAGCAAAACTAAGACTTGTTAAATCCATCTCCTAGATGTGTGCTGGCTCCTGAAGAATTGACAAATACTTGATGAACTAAGTGTATAATTCAAAGCAACAATTAACTGCAACCTATGCAACAACAGCAAAAAACTGTCTTCTTCCAGTGTCATTATGCTTGTACCTTCAAGCAAGCACAGGGCAAGAGAAGAGCTATACACTGTCTTCTTTAAAGTCATTTGGAAGACATTTCCTCATAACTGCTGACCTAGTCCATAGGAAATCACACTGAAGCCTCAAATAGGAAGCAGGAGACTGATATCCCTTAGAAACCAGCTCTGGAAGTTTATCCATTTTCACACTCCTATTTCTTGACAGCAAAGCAGAGTGAACATTTAAATAATGCTCATAACAAGCATGAAAAAACCCCAACACTGAGGCTTCAAGGTTGAGACGCTGAGACTATGTAATCACTTCTGCTGCATTATTTTGCTCCTCTCCTTCCACCAATTTTGTTTTCATATTGTTTCCCTCACTCCACATTCATCCCTTCATCCTTACCTCATTTCTTAAACCAAGTCTCCCTTGGCAGATTTCTGCAGTCAGAGTTCTGCGCTGACTTGATGTAACGAGTGGCCGGGGAAAACCTCTAAAAACGCTCCCAAACAAAACTCATCCCTTATCTTCCCTCTAAAAATACCAACATTCATGCATTTTTTACTACTGCAACAACCGACAACACTGAAAACACCAAGAAGTACCACAGCAATATTTAAGTTCAGACAACTGCTTTACGCACTAATCTTTGAGACGCCAGGGCAGGAAAGCTTTCTGTAACTAGCTCAACACAAGAGCAAAGTCCCACAATTAAAAGACCAGATTACATGCATACCAACGCCTCTGGCTCCCGTGGATTTGGGCGGGTAGTGCTGCCCCGTCCCTGATGCTCTCTCAAAGACAGAGGGGGGGGAAGAAAAAAAAAGAAAGGAAAAAGGAAAATAAAAAGGGGATGTGGGGTGTAGGTGTGTTTGATTTACCTCTTCCAGCAGGGTGACCGTGTTCCTGCAGTTCTGCAGCCGGGTGGTGAAGCTGGAGGTGGTCGGGGAGTTGTAATCCTCTGTGGTCTCGGCGATGAACTCCGACACGGTGATCTGGTCCGGCATGATCCTGCCCCACCGGTAAAGCCCAGGAGGAGCCGAGCACACAGATCCGGAGCGAGGAGAAGCCAAGTTTCGGGGGGCGGGGGGAGTGGGGGGGCGGGAAGAAAACGGAAAAAAAAAAAAAAAAGCAGAGGGAAGAAGATGTTAACAGCCAGCAGAGACCCGCAGCATCAAAGCAGCGGAGCCGCAGAGGGAGGCTTCGGCTTCGCCCGCTGCATCCAGCCGCTCCCCGGCCGCCCCCTCCTCCTCCGGGCAGGAGGTGAAGGGGGAGACGCCCCCGCACGGCGCCCCTCGCTCGGCCCCGCCGGTGGGGAGCGCTCCCGCCGCCCCTCAGCGCCCAGCCCGGCCCGGCCCCGCCGCGGCGCTGCGGGGAGGGCGGCGGGAGAGGGGAGCGGCGACCGCGCCGAGCTCAGCCCCTTTCCCCACCCGCGTCGAGTTCCCCCACGCCCCCCCCGGCCTCGGCCGCAGCTCCCGCCCGAGTGGAGCACTGACTTGTGCGGGCTCGGGCTGCGCCCCCCGGCCGGGGAGAGGCGGGGCCGGGCCGGGCTGGGCGGGTCCGGGGCGGGCGCGGCTCCGCTGACGGGCACCGCTCGCGGGCACGCGCCGCGCGCCGCCGCCGCGGCCGGGGGACAACGAGGAAGCGGCTCCGCGCAGGCGCGGCTGCCGTTCCCCTCCCCCGCCCCCGCGGTGAGGGGCGGGGGGTCGGAGGGGGGGAGTGTGATGTGCCTTTTTCCCTTTTCTTACGATTAAAAAAAGGCTTTTAGGTGAAAGGAGGCAAGGTCGCTGAGTGCTGGGGCCCAGCCCTGTCGCCAGCCGGGGGAATGGGCTTCCTGTGCCGTGTGGCAGCAGGGAGGGACGGTGTGCCCGCCCCGCGGTCCGCGGAACCCCTGGGGCGAGCCAGAGGGGCTGTTTCTTTTTCCCCTTTCTTAGGTCCGTTACAGCCGGTCGGAGCCCCATCCGCCGGTGATGTAAAGCCGGGGGTGTTGTGCAGCCCCCGCTGACAGAGCCATCCCCTTCCGCAGCCTGGCTGTGTAGGTTTTTACCCCCCTCATACTTCGTTAATTTTTAAGAAGTCCTATGTCTCAGAGAAGCTGCTGTCGCCGATTATGTATTACCTGAGCCTTCCCAGAGCGAGGGCTCTGTCTCTGCTGCGATGGCCGGGTCGCAGCAGCAGCAGCGCTGCCCCAAGACCTGAACCGCGGGGGTTGCAGCCCTGAGTCCCCTCCAAAGCACTATTTCTGAATAAGTTAACATATCCTTTTTTCCATTATTGCGTCATGTAACTCAGGGAACTGACAGACAGCTCTAATGATATTTTTTTAAGCTTAGGTTTTGGGACACATATGTTCCTTTCTAAAGAAGGCTAAGTCTCAGGAGGCTGAAGTAATTATGGTCATCTGCTGTATCAGTGTGATTTATTTAGCCATACTATGTGATTTCCTACTCTTTGTGTTTGTGATTCTCTTCACATAAGCTCAGCCATTCAGGAATGGGAAATATACTCAAGACTGAACAGCTGAAAGTGAGCAATATTATATGGCTATATCCATTTTAAAAGTTTTTATATTCTCTGTATAAGAACCTACTGCATTACAATGCATTTAGGCTTTTACATAGTTTTGTATGTAATTCTAATAAAATGACTGTACAACTCAAAAATAGTTGACAGTATCAACTAAAGGCTGCAATGCCTGAGTAAGCATAAAAAGAAGATACCTGATTTGTGTATACCCATAAAAAATGATTTGTATGCAGTTCTGCCAGAAAAAATATGACCAATACTGCTGAGAAATGGTCCTGCCTGAACATGTTTCTTTGATTTCATTGCCTTAGCAGAAGCCCTCCATATGGCCATGTGATTGCTGCTGCTGCTGCTGCTTCACGTGATCCAGCTTTCTGGCACAAAGGCTCGGAGCTCATACAGATGATTGTTAAACATCATGAGACTCTGCAAGGTAGAGTAGGCAAGAGGAGGAGGAAGCCAAGAAAAGAACTGTGTGGGAGTTGCACTGAAAAATGGATTTGGGAAAAAAACAAAACTGAAGCACTGAATAAGGGACTGGAGGGGTAGGAAGAAAATCAGTTGAGGATCCTGTTCGCAAGAGCAGTGGAGGAGGAAGAGAGATTAAGAAGATAAAAATGGCTGGTGGCATCAAAAGCATTATGGAGAGTGAAGAACTATCTGGGGGGTTGGGCCAGGGAAGAGCAGTTGGTAGCATCCAAAAGACCTGCTTCAGCGTGCCCAGCCTGCATGGAAACTAGATGGGTGAGGGACTGGGATATGGCCTGAGGGCCAAACAGGGTCTCTGTGGTCATCCCTTGTAATTTCCTGCAGAACATCAATCATGGGCTGTCACACAGCTGTTCCTGGGCCAGGCCTGTGGTCTGCATGACAGACATGGTGTTCACATTAGGAAAAGTCCTGATCCCTCTCTAGCAGATATCAAGTGAGGATAAATCCATTGCACTGATGGGCTAACTGGTTTAATTAATTGGGTACTCTCGCTGTTAAGGTTGAACTGCTCCTCTTCAGGCTGAAGTTATTGAGCTTGAGCACTAGTCTCTGGACTGTAAAATAACCTTATGTGCTATCCCAAACAAATCCTACCTGAGGGAGTGCAGACAGAAGCTGGACATACTGCTAAAGATGTCATTTCTGCAATACTATTCTGAGAAAATTTAAAGTGCAGAACTGAAGAGCATGTTCAACTAAGAAGAGGAGTAGGCAGGCCAGGGAAACTGGAGCAGTGAAGAGTGACAGAAGTGAAAGCTGAGTAGAGAGTAACAGCAGTTGAGCTTCTGTGTTACCTCATCAGAAAACAAATTATCTTTTGAAATGAAATATTAAATATATAAAAAGTAGAATGAATACAGAAGAATACTGGTAAATAAAGAGAACAGCAGAAGGCCTAAAGAAAAACGAAGATCAGTAATTACCAATCATAATTGCCTTTTTTTTTTTTTGACAGTTCTGAAATTTTTAACTCTCTTTAAGAGAACATGGTGCTCTGTTTTGCTGCATAGAAGCAGCATTTCCCTGCCCCTATAAAAATGTTGGTAAAGAAAATAGCCCTATGGGCATGACCTCTTTAGGCTTGGATTATCTTCACTTAAACTCACTGGAAGCAAGATTAGTTAATTAATGTGATGTTAATAAAAGTAAATTATACAAGCTACCTATAAAAATGTGCTTAGGTTTAAACTAGTCAAATTATGTAAGTATGTCAGATAGCATTTAGTGGATTTCAGATTTTACCATGTCTCCTGTTTTGAATTGCGATCAGTATCTGAGATTCAATTCTAAATTTGTAGGATGCACCTCTCTATAAATTGTCACTAACTGAAGTCACTGTTTCACTTCACAAATGTCAAAGAATAATCATCAGAGTGTGAAAGTTATATTTCACAGTGTCTGCTCTAACGCTATCTTAGTCTGTGCTAGATCCTGGGGGAGGCTGTGCTGCAGCCTTTTTCTCATGGAAGGCTTGCCAGTGAAGTTATGCTTATCTCACTCCTCTTGGTATTCTGAAGTGAAATGCATCTCTGTGTCCATCCTGGGACAAGCTAGTGCTGGTGAGGATCATGCAAACAGCATGGGAAAGCACACACCTTACTGCTGATGCCTTGCAGTCAAGGAACCTGTGCTGTCTTGCCATCCCACTCAGTGTTTCAGCCTACAAATCCATTTAATTCCCTGGCTTTTTGTACCGTGATTGCCAACAGGAGAGTTAATTACAGCAAATTGATAATAATTCTGCAATATTGGTGATAGTCACCATGTTTAGGGAGAGGCTAAGGAACATAGCAATGAGAGTACAAACTACTAGCACAGGTGTTGTGCAATAAACTGAGTAGCAATTGTAGTATTTTCATTTTATAGACCTCTAGACAGCTTATATTTAGATTGATATCATCAGTTCATTCACAAGAGCTGAGAGCAGGAGCCATCAGGTGACGATGACTATTGTCATCATTGCAAACTTTGCAGCATGACCAATATGTGCTAGAGGTGAAGAGCTACATGGCACTTGCACAGCTCTTCACATCATCAATGCAATTAACTGTTGAAACCACACAGTGGTGAGGTAGAGATTAAGATTTTCTTTCCACTATAGATAAGGAGCCAGATAGAGAAGCCTGTGGCCCTTCTGTCATTGTGGCTCTCTAGCTTTGGTCATGCAAAGTCAGCTCTTCAGGATATCAACACCTCATCTGGGCTGAAGCTGGTGGTGGATCTCCTGTGGGATATGCTTATGCTGCCCACAGAGAGCAGCCCCAGGACCACCCTGAGGTCACATTTCCCTGCTGCATAGGAAGCAAGATCACAGATACAAACCACAAAGGTGTGGTTGCTGCTTGGTTTTGTAAACAAGCTTGACCCAAGTCCCTGGCTGTACACCAATCCCTGCTGTCAAGCATGCTCAGACAAGCTGCCTCCGGGGCCATTTGCAGCCTGTCAGTGTGGCGCTGAAGTGAATTGTTAGCTGGAGAAGGAAATCACTGTGCACAGGGCTACTGTGCAGATGACTCCTTTTGATTAGTACAGGCATAGTCATGCCAAGATCTCACATGTCAAATTTGGGGTTTTTTGATTGTCAAGTATGAACAAGACAATTCCACTTTGCAAATACGGGTTTACAACTACACTCATTTCTTTGTTTGCAAGGTTCTTATCTTGGCTATTACTGCTGATAAAAATGGTGTAGATTAGACATTAGTGTCTAATTAAAACATACAATCATTGAAATTCACGTGCATTTGTTAGTAAACTACGTAGTTGTTCTTTTTACGCTCCTTAACATCTTCACCAACATGGAAAGTGTCACCAGCTCAGCAGCAAATAGCAACAGAACTAGTGGTGTGTTAAAACTCATCAGGAAAATATCCTTAGGCTATGTTTCTCTACTATACTGCTGTCCTGAATACATTTGTGGTTTGGTGTTAGATTTATCCATTTCAGCTAAACACAGCAGTCAGCATTACTTCCCATCCTCCTCCTGATCCTAA